ATGGCTTTCCTTGGAAACATGGGGACATTCCCTTTCCAGTGACTCTCATTGTAGAATGAATCCTGGTTAAAGGCCAACCTCCAATAGCTACGACCTCCCTGACCAAGAAGACTGGTAACTTACTGGGTTGCAGGCTCCTTTTAGAGGGATCCCCTCATCCTCTGGATGTTGACTGACTGTAGAGGCCAAGCACTGGATATTGGTTTCTGTCTTTCCTGGCAGTGTTTCCAAGCTTTGATTGTTGAGTATAGGTCGCTTCCTGCAGTCCGTTTGGCTTGGCTTGGTTTGATTTGATCTGGTTTGGTTTGGTTTTTGAGACCTTGCTTTGTGGACCTGATTAGTCTGGAACTCACTGTGCAGACCAAGCTGGCTTTGAATTTGCTGTGATCCTCTGGAGGATGGTAATGCGTCTGTCTCTACCTGGCTGGACAGAATTTTAATTGGGCTTACTTTTGTTCACTTTGGGGCCATCATAACAGAACAGGGTAAGAGGTGGAGCCTTGGGCTGGAGAGATGGCTCAGTGGTTAAGAGCACTTACCGCCCTTCCAGAGGTCCTGAGTTCAATTCCCAGCAACCACATGATGGCTTACAACCATCTGTAATGGGATCTGATGCCCTCTTCTGGAGTGTCTGAAGACAGCGACAGTATACTCATATACATAAAGTAAATAAAATCTTTTAAAAAAAATGAAGAAGTGGAGCCTTAGTCTAGCCAAGATGAGACTCTGAGAGCAACCTTAAAGTGTTCACATGGCATCGTTTAATTAATTAAGCTCCTGTTGTTGTTATTATTATTATTAGTGTGTGTGTGTGTGTGTGTGTGTGTGTGAGAGAGAGAGAGAGAGAGAGAGAGAGAGAGAGAGAGAGAGAGAGAGAGAGAGAATGTGTGTGAATGTGTTTGAGGCAAGGTTTCTCTGTGTAGCCCTGGATGTCCTAGAACTCGGTCTTTAGAGCAGATCAGGCTGACAGGCTGGCCTCAAATTCAGAGATCTGCCTGCTGCTGCTTCCTGGGAGCTGGGATTAAGGCCCTCATAATTTAAAAAAAATTTTTTTTTTTTTTTTTACTCCAAGACTATCAGTATGTTTCCACAAGCCAGGTAACCTGAGTGTGACCCTTGAATCCATGTAGAGATGGAAGGAAAGGAGAAAAGCAACTCCACAAAGTTGTCCTCTGACCTCCACACACACCTGTGCACAAAATAAGCACATAAATATAAAAACCTTTTGTTTTGTTTTAGGTGTTGCCTGTCACTCAGATGGACTGAACTCATGTGTAGTGGGGCTGTCTTCAAACTTCTGACCCTCCTGCCTCTACTGTCTGTGTTTAGAATTACAGGCTTGTGTCACCATGCCTGGCCCTATAATTCATTAAGAGCTTACTTATCTCAAATTATGAAATATTAAATGACATAAATACTCATTGCATAGCTGGGTATGGTGGGGCATATTGTAACCCCAGCACTCCCAGCACTAAGGAAGGTATAGGCAGGAGAATCTAAAGTTCAAGGCCAGCCTGGGCTATATACCAAGACTCTGTCTCAAAAAACAAACAAAAATAAAAATAAAGAAGTGAAACCAACAGCAAAGAGAATGCCTGTTACACTTTGCTCCTGTTTACAGACATGCTTTCCAGGTGACTAATGTCCCAGTGGCAGTATCAGATGCCACTTCCTTCCTAGAGTGTCACGTGTTGGGCAGGCCTAGTTGTCTTCACTCGAGGATAATAGTCATTATACAGTTAAGAGGGCACAGACAGGAGCCTGAGCAGCACCTCTGACAGTTCCAGTTTGGAGGGTACCACTTGGTACCATGTACCCCTAAGCTCTGCGTTATAGAGGCTTTGCACACTGGGGAATATAAGCATATTAAATACACAAAGAAGACAGAGTTAGTTGTCGTCTAGGCTTTCACCTCCTGAGTGCTGGGATTACAGGCCTGTGGCACCAAGCCTGGCTTGTGTTTACTTTTGATTTTTTGTGTTTTGTTTTTGAGACCCACCTTGAACTCACAGCAATCCTCGTGACACGTCTACCTCATGAACACTGGGATTCTAGGCATTAGCCATCTAACACCTGGCTTCAACTTTACGTTTGAAGTAAAATTTAGACGCTTTGTCTTTGCAGAATGTTAAGTCCATATATTCTAGCTGCATTACACCCCCCTTTCCTCAGAAAAATCAAGGCATAGTTTTAGACTTTTGAGAAGTTCTGAAAGTATCAGCAGTGACCACAGGAGCTAGAGAGATGGTTCAGCGGTTAAGAGCACTGGTTGGTCTTCCAGAGGTCCTGAGTTCAATTCCCAGTACCCACATGGTGGCTCACAAACATATATAGTGGGATCTGGTGTCCTCTTCTAACATACAGGTATACACACAGACAGAACACTCGTATATAAATGAATTAACTAAAAAACAAACAATCAATGACCACAGACTGACTTCTGCTTTATGCCCAAGGATATACAATAGGAAAGCACTTATTTTATTAAAGCAGTAAATGCAAGTCAGACTTTTTAAAAGTAGAACTTTACTAGCCTTTGTCTTAAGCTGTGTGTGTGTGTGTGTGTGTGTTCTTGAGACAAGGCTTCTCTGTGTAGCCCTGGCTATTGTACTGGAACTTACTTTGTAGCTCAGGCTGGCTTCAAACTCAGGAATCTGCCTGCCTCTGCCTCCTGAGCGCTGGGATCAAAAGCGTGTGCCACTACTATCCAGTGAGCTATTCTTACCACGGTCTGGAGTCTTCCTCACCCCTGCAGCTGTTCTCCACACACGGAGACCTCCTCTCTGCTGTAGTTCTGCTCCACCAGCATGGTGCTGTTCCTGCAGTCTGGCAGTATTTTCCTGTTTCTTTCTTCCTGTCAGAGGGGAAATGGAGGCACAGTGGGCACTAGGGCTGGCACTCAGGGGTTCTTGGGCAGATGGGCTCAGAATAGAAACAAACAACTTGGAACATAAGATCCAGAGCAGATTTGAATGACAGAGCTGATGAAGATTATCCTCTGTCTGAAATTCGTCTGATTACTTTCTCTCTGGATTACTGAATACAGATGAGAGGTGCATTGGCCATGCTATTCGTCAGAGGCCCGGATTTAATGTGACTTGTAGAAGCAAGAATGCCTGTAGATTACCTTGTGTACTTTGAACCTACATGCCTCAGTTTTTGCATATATGTTCATATGTATGCATATATACTCTTAATAGTCTATAATAACTTAAAATAATAGTTGATCAAACTTAACCAGATTTTAGCATTACCTAGTTTATTTGTGTGTGTGTTGATGTGCATGAGCCATGGTACATTTGGAGGACAGCAGACAACCTGAGGGAGTCAGTTCTCTTCTTCAACCACATGGGTCCCTGGGATCATAGTCAGGTCAACGGGCTTTGTGGCAAGCACCCTTACCAGCTGCACTGTCTTGCTGGCCCTACAGTGGTTATTTTAAAGGTTTTGGGACAAATAGTTGAATACATAATTGACTGTGCTAAGACTAAATTCCCCAGTAATTGGGAGCCCCTCCACCCCCAATCAGAAAACACAAGCTATTGTCTTTTAAAGCAGAGAATCTTCCTGTAGCCAATTTTGTATAATGTTACCAAGAGTAGAGCAGTAGTTTAAGAAAATCTGTCTTTTTCAAAAAAAGACATTCATTTTTATTTTATGTGCATGAGTGTTTTGCCTGCGCGTGTGTCTGTGTACCATGTGACTGCCATGCCTGAGGAGGCCAGAAGAGGGCATAGGATCCCCTGGTACTAGAGTTCTAGGCAGTTGTGAGCCACCACGGGGATGCTGGGAATTCCCTGGTACTAGAGTTCTAGGCAGTTGTGAGCCACCACGGGGATGCTGGGAATTCCCTGGTACTAGAGTTCTAGGCAGTTGTGAGCCACCACGGGGATGCTGGGAATTGAATCCAGGTCCTCGGAGTCATCTCTCTAGCTTCCAAAATCTGTTTATTTAAACATGCAGGATACATTTTAGCTTTATGCAGTGTATTAAATTTTAACCTTGGGAAATAGTTTCAACAACCTTTAATTTCCTTTTTAATTACTTTTAGGTGTATGGATAGTTTGTTGTTTTTTTTTTTTTTTTCCATGTATGTACCTGGTGTCTGAGAAGGCCAAAATAAAGTCAGATTTCTTGGGACTGGAGTTATGAGCCACTGTGTAGGTGCTGGGAATCGAACCCAGGTCTCTGCAAGAGGATCCAGTGCTTATACCTGTCGAGTCACCTCTCCAGCCTGCACTAACCATCTGATTAGAGTCAACTTGATCCCAAGCATAAACCATTTTTTATACAGCTGCCCGCAAGATCACTGTGACCTACCGTCTTTGTCTTTACTCTTTGTTTCATTTTGGGGTATAATCCTTTACTTTAGGGCACAGCCTAATTTTATCATACAAAATCCTTTCTTACCCTAAATATTCTCTTTCCTGTTAACTAAGGTGGGATGAGTTTATTATTTGTGTTAATTTTTGTGTATGTGTGTGTGTTTTGTGTACACATATGTGCCAGTGTCTGTGGAGGACATTGGGTTCCTGGGGCTGGAGTAACTGTGAATTACTTGACAGGAGTGCTGGAATACCAACTCCATCTTCTGCAAGAGCCGCAAGTGCTCTAACTACTGCGCCACCTCACCTCTCAGGCCCCATTTATTTGTTTGTTTCTTTGTTTATTGGAGACAGGGTTTCACATAGCCCAGGCTAACCTCACCTGTACCATGTAATCAGATTTTTGAATTTTGGTGTCTCAAGAAATTGAGAAGTCGAGGGCTGGAGAGATGGCTTAGCAGTTAAGAGCACTGGCTTGTTCTTCCAGAGGTCTTGAGTTCAATTCCTAGCACCCACATGGCAGCTCACAACAATCCCGTGGGATCTGAAGCTCTCTTCTGGTATGCACACATACACACAGACAAAATACCCATGTGTATAAACAAATAATAATTAAAAGAAAAGGAAGAAATTGAGAATTCTGGAGCTCACCATGTTTCATTTCCCCTCTGACAGCTCCTTGCCGGTCAGAAGAAAAGCTCTCCCTTCTGGACATTTGAATACTATCAGACATTCTTTGATGTGGACACTTACCAGGTCTGTGAACCAGCTTCAACCCTTACTTTCCACAGTGGGGACCCATTTCTGCCGGGATGGAACAGCTATCATGTTAGAGGCCTGGTCCTAGAAGTGGCCTTCCTCAAGCACAAAGGCTTGCTGCATGTGAAACCACCGTAGAAAAGCTCACGTAGCCCACCTTGAGTTTTGAGGCTGAATAGATTAAACCCTAAGGAAAAGAAACCTTGAGTAGAATCACTGCTCTGTTACCTTGCAGGTCTTTGACAGAATAAAAGGGTCTCTGCTGCTGGTCCCTGGAAAGAACTTTGTGAGGCTGTACGTCCGCAGCAATCCAGATCTCTATGGTAAGTTAGCGAGTCACACTGTTAGTGGAGTGTATAATGCTGTGACTTGAGTCCCTGGGACTTAGGAACAACCTTTGCAAAGACTTTAGAGGACAGTGAAGCTTCCTGGTGCAGTGGACCTGTGGCTATGATTCCTGTGGCTGCAATTACTACCATCCTTAAAAGGGCGTTAGGTGACTTTAGTGTGGGCTTGACGCAGATAAGTGTTTTTGAGTGTTGTTAAATGGGCAGAGTGGTAAGCAGGTATCAATGACATTTTAGGCCGGAAGTGTCTAGGTTTTTAGCTTAGGGCCAAAGAATGGCAGGCAAGAAAGGCTTCCAAGGGTACAGGGGACTCCTTGTCTACAGGATCTGCATCTGTAATTCAACCAACCAAAGCTTAAAAGTAAGTTTGGAGAAGTGCATGTCTGTGCTGAGCATGCACTGCCTCTGCCTTTGCCTTTGCCTCTCTGCCTTTGCCTCTCTGCCTCTCTGCTTCTCTGCCTCTACCTCTCTGCCTCTCTGCCTCTTTCTGCCTCTCTCTGCTTCTCTCTGCCTCTCTCTCTCTTCCTCTCTGCCTCTCTGCCTCTCTGCCTCTCTGCCTCTCTGCCTCTCTGCCTCTCTGCCTCT